ACAAAACATTGTTGAAAGCAGTATCAACTACGAAGAAAGGTAAATAAAAATTTCGGTTTTCGTTTGATTTGGACTGATCGCAAAAATTCAAAACACACTGCACATATTTGCATGTACCAATTCGAACATGGATCAGGGTGTGTGCGCATCACTTACCACCTTCTTCATCACTATCCGTGATCACGTGATCGATCATATGTTCGACTTTCTCCAGTGCGATCGATCCGGTCACCAAATTTGGGTCGCCGTCGGATAGGCCATCTGGCCCGGCCCCGGTCAGACTGGGTTGAGACCAGTCTTTCACATTTGTGGTTACTTTTTGCAGCGCTTCGAACAAATTCAAATAGTGTTGTTTGTAGGCCAGTTGAGCTGCTGTCCAACCTTGCTATAATCGGGAAAAATATTAAATAAAAATGAAAGTTTAGAAAGGATTAGTGGGGGGGGATTAAGGCAGATGCGGAATTAAATCAGTCATACACAGAGCATAGAAAGTATGAAGTGAAAAGCTGGCAAGATGAATGCAGTCATTCCCACTCTGTTTGGTCTCATCTGGAATGCTGATTACAGAGGGCAGGTAGGACGCATACATGCTACACGCTAATTGACCACAGAGTGACCGACATCACTTTGTCCACACACTATTCGAATTTTTCGCCGCACGTGCCTTTGAGCAGTCAAAGTAGGTAACAAATTATTTTGTATCCATTGGAACAGTCTAAAGACATTAACGAATGGAAAGTTTGCCCTCAGGTTGGACATGAAGCTACCATGCAATGTGATATCGATTGTTCTAATTCCGGAAGATACATTTGAAAAAGTAATGAACCGGGTCATTCGAGTGAAAGTTAAGTGAATCGGAGATGCACATACTGGTGCGATCCGGTGATATAAAAAGGTTATTCGATTGCAGAAAAGAAAATCAATCCAGTAGGATAACAGTAACTAAGACGTAACGACTTTGGTTACGTGATCCAAATAGCGCACACATTTGGAGTTCTTTTGGGCTTTTTGCTAAACAGATGACTCATCCAACCTTCTGTTTGACCTTATTGAAATTGTTTCATAAAAATGTGATTGTAAAGATTTGAAAAAGAATTCGCCGAAAACATTGTGTGTTCTTAAACAATGGGCGTACTTCGTGATCTAATAACAGAAACCGTCGCTGGCATTTTCGCACACAAAAACTGACCAGCTATTAAGTCATCCTGAGGAGGAAGTCTATACACGCGATTTTGTTTGATATTTCGGAAATATTATCTTGGTGTGTGTGTGTTTGTGAACAAAGGGTATTTGTTGAAGAAAACTAGCAGTCACATATGAAGTTTCCTTCGCTACTGCATAGCTCAAATCATCGATTCCATCGTCTGTAGAAGGGCGGATTTCATCTGACCTTGTCGATCGTGAACCAGCTCTTTCCCTGATAGACAAGGTTCCGAGTCGAACCGTAAGCAGATACAAGCACAAGAATCTATGGAAACACGCTACTCTTCCAATCATCCCATTATCAAGTACGATCTGAACAGCTACGAGTGTCAATAAATCCTTTGAGTAGAGAGAATAAAACGAAATAACTCGCTCAGACATCAATCCGTTATCAGATAGTTTTGTAATTTTAGGTCCTTATCTGAACAGAAGTTGTCCCCCTCCCTCACCTTCGCCCCCGTTCTCTATCCTCCATCAGCAATGACTACTCAGGGCTCGGTGATACACCATGTACCCAGTTTTTATTTTACAGACCATTTATTATGACCCACTGCTCTCCTCCACACGGTCAGATACGGTTGACGAGAACAAGCATGTATGCATGTGTGTGTGTGTGCGCGTGCGTGCGTGCGTGTGCGAAGTCACGCATGCTAGACAATTGATCATGATAGGCCCTTATTTTTGCAAACCTGTGTTTGGCACAGAGCCAAACATGGTCATGCCATGCAAACAACACCCACGTTTTCCAACTTTTATTTTGATATATCCCTTCGATAATGGACCGTACTTGGGCATGCAAGTGCTGCAAAGCATTGTCAAACACTGTCGTTATATCAAACCTCACACTCCCACCTATTGCCCACCCAGGCAAAAGTCTACACACATACATATACACACACAACAACACGCACAAACACTTTTCTGTATTGGTTAGATATGTGCGCACTGGTGAACCCTGGGGTTGTAGTTTTAAATAATATACTTAGTAATAATTGATGGTCAGAAACACCCGTGCGCCAAAAATTTTGGTCTGTTAGCACTAGTCTCACGATGAATCTTGGATTTTGTTTGGCATTCTGATATAAAAAAGGAGTTCACAGATAAATGCGAATATTGAAATTTTACATTTAATTAACAGTTACTTATGAGTAGCAATATGGAATGAGTTCCTCAATATTTTTTGACCAACCATCCTGCCCAGTTCGCGCACAATCTTCGGTTCATCTTGTAAACATACGATTGGGCAGTAATATACTTGAGTTTTAATCTTGTTCGATCTCATCAGTTGTGTTTATCCACCGTCTCTTACGGGATTTCAAATCTGAATACATCACACAGACGATGTGTGCAATGCCATTGTGCTCCTAAACTCAAATCCGGATTGACCCCAATCGCCATTTCAGCTTTACACAGACGTCATGTTCAATGACAAAGGCAACGAAGTGCGTCCCACCAAATCAGGTTCCCCATTCAGGTTTCAGCAACGCTTCCAACTATACCTGCCGGGCCAGATCTACAGTTCACATTTACTGCACACTTTCCCACGAGAAGTAGTGGGAGATACGTCATTATTGACTAGGAACTGTTGACAGACCGGTGCATATACACCACTGATGAACGACCGAGGACAAACTCGAATCTAGTGCCGCCCATTACGATGCACAATCGATTGAGACGTTTACTACACGTGCATATAGCAATATTGATTGATTGGCCGATACTGACTCCTACTACATGTATTCATGCATGCATGCACGCACGCACGTACACATGTCGCAGACATTTTTACATGATCGAATAGCTTCAACCAATCAGATTTCCGTATTGAACTGTCCCCTACGATGGACCCACGGGCAGCTTGAACCCACGCGGATTGCACGTGACTCCTGCGCTTACCGTTAGCCTATGTGCCTGTTTTGCTTAAGCAAGTGTTCACAAATTTACTAGGGCGATTTTTCATGCTAATTCAAACGTAGCTACCTGCCTTCTGTGTTCTGATGCAATTGCGTACACAATACTCCCCAAGTGAATGGTTAACTGTAAATGAACTCACGATTGTTTGTGAATATAAAATCTAAAGGATGATTCATCAAAATCTTAATAATAACCCATCTACACCGTTATTACAATCGTAATGCCAAGTTGTAACACTTGACACACATCGGTAGAAGTTAACATGTAGCCGGTGTAAGCTGGACTAGTATTATTATGGCGATGGTTTTTGTTGATCTTTCGCTCTCAACGCCTTTCCTAACAGGTTAGGAGTGTTTGCAAGCATAACTACTTATTAATCGCAAGTAGTAGAACTCTTGGTGCATAATTTCACCGGTTACAGTCAGCAGAATTGGTTCGCAAGCCCTGCAATACACGATTCTTTCTAAATGCTTACGAACCAGTTGCCTAATTGCTATAAATTCAGCTCTAAGCAATGCGAATCGATACAACTCTGGCACAAAATACTAATAT